ACACGAGCAAGGACGAAGACGGGCCAGCTGGAATAGACAGAGGCTCCTGCCATCATGCTGGTCAAGGCAAGCCAGCCCATGCCGATGATGAAAATTGCCTTGTTGCCAAACTCGTCGCCCAAACGTCCCCCGATCAACACGAATGTGCCTAGAGTCAAGCCATAGCCAGATACTGTCCACGAGAGTTGACCAGGTGCAGTGACACCAAAGGAATCGCCGATTATTTCGAGAGTCGTGAGGCTGTTGCATAGGCCCAATTGATTGGTAAACATGGATGAACACACCGTCATGATGAAGATGATCCGCCGAAGCAAGTTGTATCTATCTGCAATGTAGACGTATTCATCTTGCGCAGTCTGTTCAGAAACTACACGTGAATCATTATGAGTTAGTCAATGGACTGATAAGGCCCCCAGCTATTGTGAGACATCTTCAAGAGCTATTTACCATCATCATGTCTCGATGACACTTCGATATCATGCGATGCAATTTCCTGCGCTCCTGGAGATGAGGTAGTCATCGCGACTCGATTTGAGTGTTATTCGACGGTAGCGATGGAAGAAGAGGTTGAGGAGATACGAAGGAGTACATTTTGGCAATGCGAAGAGAGTGACCTAAAAGAGGACGCTGCTAAGCTGATCTATCTCAACACACGATGCAGTCTCCTTTGATGCTGTCCAAAGGTCGATTTGTCAGTCCCAATCCGGAGTCATAACACGGTCTATAGTACCAGGGCAAAAGTCTCCGGGTAAGTCTCCGTTGCTCCGTTCCCCGACTGTCTTACATAAACCACCACAAAAATGTCGCCTCTGGTATATTCCAAGTCACTGCAATGGTTCGAGGCCCCTTATCAGCCCAAGCAATAACAGGATAGCTTTTCGATAATAGCGTCAATAATGTAACTACCTCGCAACTTGGATCTGGGTAATCGAAACGCCACTTTAGGGTCACTATGTCTGATGATGATGGCCAGCAAGAACAGTGTTGGCCGTGCGCCTTGTCAAAATTAATGCGTAACTAAGCGCTAGCCATTGTCTGTCATTGTTGTCCGATGATCCGTGACCTTGTGTAAAATACTTACTACAAGACCTGCAGAAATAATAATCAGCACAAGCGCTCATCCCGTCACATATATTGTCCAAATCGCTGATATTGAGAGAAAGCGACTGGTGATTGCTTGTGGCAAAGGAGGCTTTGTGCTTCTCAATTGGTTCTAGGAAGACATCCTTGCTAGGTGTCGAGCGCTTTGCGCCTCGCGTCTAGTCCAAACAGGGGTTTCCTTGCCGCGGCATCGGATTGAGAGACATTCGACGTGTATGAATTCGAGACCATCGAGTCATGTACCAGGTCATGTCAACTAAGACGTGAATTCAACCAGGATGGCCTAAAGTTGGTGGATATCCGATGTCCAGAGTGTGATGCTTAGGAATTTGCTGCTCTGCTCCCGCATTCGATAGGCGGTACCTACAATGCGGAGTTACGACGGTCGGTCGCTTGATCTACAACAGAGCTCAAGGGTAAGAAACCCGCAATGGCCGTGTCTGCATCTACCACAGGAGGAATGTTGACAGCCTGGCAAACATTCATGACTTCAAGCCAGTCATCCGGCTGCGGACACTGTGCCGCCACGAATGTTCGGTTCGCTTCTTTGTTGTGTGATCGCATGACAAGGCGTCATAAGTACGAATGTCGATCTGGTACAGACGTGGACGCTGGAAAAGTGTCCAAGCAAGACGACTAGAAGGCAAGCGACATATTATTTGAGTCATGTCTTGACTGCCGAGTAGCTATCACAGAGATTGAAAGTAGCGCTACAGCTAACATGATGAGTCATTGATATCAGAACTTGACCCATAGAGCCCAAACGGTCCAAACGAAAAGATATATGCAGAATCCAGCAAGCATGGGATGCGCAAACGGGTGCAACGCCCACGATCGCAAGACTGGGTGGGTGGTATATGCCAATGACAGATCAGTTTGTGTATTCACTTTGGATGACTGGTCGGAGATAGCTGCATTTATCTCGATCTCATTATTGACGATGTGCAGATGAAGGACGCACTTTTCTGCACTTCACCAAAATAGGAGCGTCTGCTCCTGGAAATGTCAGAGCTAGCAAGGCTGCCACGCATCGCCAGTTTCTGCCCCCTTGCTTGGTCGCGACTGGAGATGGAAGCGACCAAAGAAGAAATTTCTGATGATGATCACGATTCAAGCAAGCCTCTGAACAAGGACTGGTGTCAAGATTTGTTCAAAACGCCTAGCGAGAGGTGGGCTTCCTTGATCTGCCATGTTGGCCGTATTATCTGGTGCCTTGACCACAGTATGACTGCCTTCCAGATACCAGTTCATGAAGAAGGGATGTTGATCTTGATATACCGGAGGACAGCACACCGAGCATACGGCCTTTCTTCGTGCCATCTGAATGGCTTTCTGCGACCAAATGTGGTCATCGCAATGCACCAAGGGACATCCCCACGATGGCTACCTCTGACGTTGCAATTGTCCGGGAAGAACTAGCTTATGAGAAAGTAGTACAGAGTAGAATGTGGATGATGATTAATGGTCGGGCGTCAACAGACAACGTAAAATTGTTCCGTGTTGTTGACTTTAGTGCACCGTAGCAGGCCAGCGCACTGACAGCATGAAGAGTCACCGTGCGTCACGGGAAGTCTGCACCTCGGCAAATGTTGAAGGGCTGCATCTCGTATCCAGGGGACGATAGAGTCGCTCCGCGTCATGGCAAAGCTTGAATGCGGGGAAGTTCACATGAGGGTCAATGTAACCCCCAGTGAAGGCGTAAACTCAATTTGTCTCTCATCCTCAACCACCTTCGTGACCCTGCAAGTTGATGGTTTAAACCATTAATCAGACTGCTTACATAGGTGTGTGTCTTGCAGGGAGAGCGGTGACACGCAGCCAAGACCCTTAATCTGAGTTATCTCAAGAACTGACAGGGGTGCTGATAACTAACATCGCAGCCGATATCGCCCAACGCTATCTCTCCGGCTGATAAGGGCCACCGCGATGCAACCTTGCCGCATCCGTCGTTGTCGCATCGCCAGATCTGCGGAGAAGCCGTGGGGGGTTCCAGTTATCCTCCTCACGGCCGGCTGATAAGCCTGTTCCTGTCCGTTCTTGTTTATGCATAAAGCAGACCGTCTTTTTCCCTTCCCTCCTTGCATCGTCACCTCTTGAAAACAACCCTTCCTCCAACCTCCCCTTCCCTATCCTCTCAGCTCTGACATACTTCCGCCGTTGGGAGGAACCATGATCGCCCAAGCCTCGGATCCGCCGCCGAAAGTCCAAAAGTCGGTTACACGCGACTCCCTCACCGACGATGCTTCACACATCGACCGCTACGGCTCTGTCCCGGGGGTCGTCGAAGATGTCGTCCAGGTCATCGACCACAAGGCCGAACGGGCTCTCTGTCGCCGCTTCGATTTCCGTATACTTCCCGTGCTCGCATTGATGTGTACGTATATCCATCTAGATATTATTTTCTAACCTGCTCATAATTTTTAGACCTCTTCAATGCCCTGGATAAAGGCAACCTCAGTAACGCCGAAACCGCCGGCATGAGCGATGGTAAACCAGCCCTTGCTCCCTCTTTATCTACCGTCGCTAACATTACCAGATCTTAACTTCAAACCCGGCCAATATAACCTTCTCCTATCCATCTTCTACGTCCCATATGTTGTATTCGCGCCCCCATTTGCCATGCTCGGCAAGCGCTGGAGTCCAGCACGCGTATTGCCTGTGCTCATGTTCTCTTTTGGCTCATTCACACTGCTCTCGTCTGCGACCAAGAACTTCGGTGGCATGTTCGCTCTACGCTGGTTCCTCGGCATGTCTGAAGCGGCCTTCTTCCCGCTAGTCATTTACTACCTGACGACCTTCTACCGACGTGGCGAGCTTGCCCGTCGCCTCGCCATTTTCTACGCAGCCAGCAACATCGCCAACGCCTTCTCCGGCCTACTCGCCTTCGGCGTCTTCCAAATCAAACACTCCTCGCTCCCAGACTGGCGTTACCTCTTCATTCTCGAAGGGGGTGTCACCGTTCTCTTCTCCTGCTTCGCCTTCTGGTACCTTCCTCGCTCCGCCTCCACAGCCTCCTTCCTCAGCGAAGACGAGAGGCTTCTCGCCCATCACCGCATTCAAGTGGACAGTTCCGCCATCGTCGACGAACCCTTCCATCTCCGCTCCGCTCTCGGCATTTTCAATCACCCCTCCACATACGCCTTCCTCGCCATCGAAATCTGTCTCGGTGTGCCCTTGCAGGGCGTCTCCCTTTTCATGCCCCAGATCATTCAACGCCTGGGCTTTTCCACCGTCAAAACAAACCTCTACACCGTGGCCCCTAATGTCACCGGAGCCGCCATGCTCATCGTCCTAGCCTTTGCATCAGACGCCGTTCGCCTGCGGGCCCCATTTATCGTCCTAGGCTTCCTCCTCACTTTCACGGGCTTCATGATCTACGCTGCTATCGACGATGTCGATCGTCAGATCCACCTAGCATATTTTGCCACCTTCATGATGACTTGGGGTACCTCTGCGCCGTCGGTGCTGCTCTCCACATGGTATAACAACAACATTGCAGATGAGAACAAGCGTGTGCTGTTGACGAGTATTGGTGTGCCGTTGGCGAACCTGATGGGTTTGGTGTCAAGTAATGTCTTCCGGGAGAAAGATAAGCCCAAGTATCTGCCTGCCCTCGTCACAGTGGGTGCATTCGGTGGAACTGGTGCTATTCTGGCAGCGCTGTTGGGAGTATATATGCTCGTGGATAATCACCGGCGGGATCGTAAGGAGGGTGTCAGGATGCGGGCGCAGGATGTCCCGACTGAACGGTTGCGCGATGGACCGGGCGCTGTCGGGTTCCGATGGTTCTTATGATATATTTCCATGATGTTTACGAGGAATGAAACAATAAATGGTTACTTCTATTAGGGTTGAGAAGGAGTCTTGTAGGCTAGTAGTAGAGCACGTGCTCGCTCAATCATGTGAACCAGATGCGACCATCTCCCAGAAGATGGCCTAGGGGTGCCGTGCGAGGTGCATTTCTCATGCCCGGGGACAATATGTACTTTCTGGGGATGAGTGCTAACCTTTCATTATTGTCAATGGCATATCGAGGATAGACTTGCAGGTTAGTCCTCTCAACCAAGCTAGCGAAGTACCTACCAAATCGGCGGAATCTATAATGGCTAATGGGCCCATGGCTAACAGAGTCGCTAGTATACAATTTCCATGATTTCTCTCAGGACAGAAACTCCTCGACTGTATAGCATTAAGGTACCTTGATGAAAGATTCTGGAGGCAGGTATAACCTCGTAATGGATAACATATGAGGTGTACATGTATACTCAGTTACTACTGAGAGTAGAAGGGATTCAAGCTTTCCCATGGGTCGAGCGGGCGCGTATTTGGATACACGCACAACCTTGTTATCGTAGATCCAGCGTGCCAGACTGAATCTTAAAGAATCAGCTACTGCACTTAAAGTCGACAACGCCTGTCCTGGAGTTCATCAATAGAGCGACAATCAAGCCGTACAATCCTATGATACCATCCCGCTGCATCAGTCATCCCATCGTCAGAGAAACATAGGTCAGAGGTACATACCCAAGACCTCAGCAAAGATTAAAATAAGAATCATGCCCACATAAAGCCTCGACTGCTGCGCGGTCCCTCTCACCCCCGCATCGCCGACAGTCCCAATCGCAAACCTGCAATCAATCAGCCAAAAAATCATTATCTGATATCAACAGACACACAAATGAGAATTACGTACCCAGCGGCCATTCCACAAAGCCCAACCGCCAGGCCGGCGCCCAACTGAAGCAGACTAGTGTACAGAGTCATCTCCTGCGCGAGGTTGTTGGCTATCAGTACTGAAACAACGAGGCCGTAGATGCCTAGGATACCGGCCATAACGATGGGCACGATGTCTGTCACAGATCAGCTCATAGAATGCTACTCGCAGGGTAGTATAGGTGGAATAATACTTTTGACGATCAAGTCCGGCCGTAGGACGCCCGATGAACAAACGCCCACCCCGGCCTTTGCGGTTCCGTAGGCTGCCCCGATGCTCGTGAATACAATGGCGCTTGTACAGCCGAGAACTCCGAAGAGAGGCTTTGGAGGTTAGAAGATGTCTTTGTTCGCTTTGACTATAGTTCTGCAAGCACTCACCCCATAGCTGGGACTAGATATTGATGCCGTTAGCTACCCCGTTGCGTACATGACAAGACTACTTTGGGATCCTGACCAGAACTCCGATAGCATCGTTTCTTCACTTCTCTCGTTCTGGGCGCTAGACTGGTGTAGATCGAGGTTTTGGCTGATGCCACAAAACAAAACAGTCGGTGGAGACTAGGTAGGCAGCTTTATACCTTTCACCAAGTCCAAGCCAAGCTAAACATATGTTAGAAGACCCTTTGCCCGGACCTATTGGGCCTACACCGTTGACATTTAAAGGCCATGCTTTTGGCCAATCGAGCTGGTTCTCTACTGCTAATAGGCGGCATTTGTCGGGGGCCTATGGCTCCGAAAGGTCAGTAAACTACCTACATAAATACCTCTGATAGGTATGGAGATCGCTTTTCATGGTATGAGGGCGCAGGCAACCATAATCCTGACCGAGCGGATGTTCCCGATCGAGGTGGGGGGTGTCTCACCTAGGTTGACCAGTGAGCATTAGAACCCAGCTACTTTCGTACTTTTAGTCTACTAAGTCGTTGACACAGTTGTCTTCCGGGTTGGATCCATTTAGCTGGGAGGTCATGGCTCTGCACTAGGGCAGCCTTATGGCTGAGATGGTTTGTCCACCTGGTCAAGTTCTCTCGGGGCGGAAGGCCCACTTTCGGGCAGAGACGAAATTTCCAGGCGTTGTTGGATGAGAACAGTCCCCGGTGCACAGGCCTATGTCTAACTGCCTAGCGACCAATGAATGACACGCTGGCTATACTGCTGGAGTTCCCTGGATGGGGCTGAGACTACGCTGGTCCGTCAGGGTATATTTGTTGTTGCCTAGCCTTGCAATGGTGGCCTGGCCATTATATATTTACTCGGATATAGTTCCGTTGTTTTATCACTTCATCTTCCTATCTCTTAAAGACCGCATTGCATCGTGTTGATTATGTGATATAAGATAGGTGCTATAGCTGTACTATCCACCAGCCGCATGCGATCATAAGTTTGCTTCATGGCAGGGTTTGCGGAAGCCCTTAGAGAATGACTTTCTTTTCAATTGCCTTCCTGTTCAATACTTTAATTGGGCTAAGCAAAATTGACTACTCTCTAACAAGGCTTATGCTGGACGGGATGAACCATTAGGATACTTGCTTGGGGTCTTTATTTTTGTCGCTATGATATACTTCTCATCTACCCTAGAAAGCTGGTCTTATTCAATCATTGACTCTTGCGATCATAACGTACCCTTCTAGCGCCCTGTCATTTGACTTCTGTAGACAACACGGAGTCCGGCGATAACGGCCCTTGAACACGTCTCTTTTATACTTCACACACTGCCTGGTATTTCATGAATGGTCTCTTCACATAATACACAAGAAAGGAGTAGATGCAATCAATGAAACGACTTCTCTAATGACAAGAATCATGATAGTACCAAGAACGCCAAAACCCCGACCGGAAATAAAGCACCCAATTTCTGGCAAACCACTGCAAATTCACTCCTAATTTCGCGGACAAAACTCCAAATATGGCCCCTCCTTCGCAGCAGTCAAATGGTCATAGAGCTGATACTCATCAAGCCGATGCCGGCCAAACTCAGCGCCCACCTTCCCTTGACCAATTTTACCCAAATCCCCCTCTGGAAGGCGGATATCAAACTCCCAAAGCACTCGCGCCAACACAAGATGAAGCTCCACATAAGCGAGGCTCTTCCCAATGCAACTTCGGGGGCCGATTGAGAAAGGATTGAACGCTGATCGCGCGCGTCCAACATCCCCTTGTACCGAACGACTCTCATCCGCGATCCACCGCTCGGGCTGGAAGCAGAACGGCTCAGGGTAATAAGCCGGATTGTGATGAATGCTGTAGATGCACGTTCCCACATCCACACCAGGGGGGATATACTGTCCGTCCACAGTAGCTCCTGCTTCCTCGGCCTCGCGCCACAGCGATCCAGCCGCTGATGGGGACATGCGCATGCTCTCGTCAATGCAGGCACGCAGAAACACGCATTGATTCATTTGCTGGCCTATGCGGATCTCATCGGGGGACGTGAAGATACTGCGAACTTCATTCGCTGCGCGCTCGTAGGCTGCCCTGTTGTGCGATAGGTAGAAGAAGCAGGCCGCCATCGCGGTAGAGGAGGTATCGGTTCCCGCGACAATCAGCGTCGCGCTCTCGCCGCCTAGTTCTCGGTTGCGTAGAGGAAGACCTGTCTCTGGGTCTTTGGCTTTTGCGAGTAGTGCGAAGACACCCTTGCCTGTCTTGGAGGCTGCCTCGATGCCTTGGGTGAGCATCACCTCGACAAAGCTGATGAACGTGTTCCTGGCCTTGATGGCTTCGGGGAAGAGGTATTTGTCGAGACGGAAAATGCTGAGCTCGGGCGCTTGAGCTAGGGTTCCGACTCGGACGTTGGACTTCTCGATCACCTCCGGGACGAAGCGGAAGGTGGGGTCACGCAGGGTTGACCACGGGCAATCGAAGATAATGTTGCTCATGACGTCGAAGGCGAGGTAGTCGGCTGGAAAAGATGGTTCTGTGTTAGTTTCATTGGATGTTAGGGTTATCTCAGTGGGAAGCACATACTCATTCGGCCCATATTCTTCGGTGTAGACCAGGTGTCTGCTGGCACCGGCTTACCTCCCTGTCCTGCCTTCAGCTGGTTGCATAGGTGCTTTATTTGCTCCAGGATGACAACCTCGTGGTTTTTAAGGGCGGAATCCGAGAAGCCCTGGCTGATGACTCTTCGCTTTTTGCCATGCTTTTTCTTGTCAATCACGGTCAATGTGTTCGGGGCCCTATGCACCATGGCGGCATAGCGTTGGGCCTTTTTGAAGTTCTTCCCATGGCTGTAGATATCGTGAAGTCCGTCGGCAGTGTTGACAAGGAGGCTATTAGGTCCATATCGGACAAAGTCACCTAAGAGCCGAGAGATCCTCACGTTAGTACTCCAATATTCATATGCCATGAATAGTCGGAGGTACTCACCGTACTTCTCGTGGCATCTCCACATGTCAAGATGCAGGTCCCCGCGCCATGCATGATAACCGGCATACAAAGTGGTGATCTTTGCCAGCCAGGGACCGGGATACTTGGCTAAGGGGTGAAAGAAAATTCGACAAATGCAAAGTCCAGCTGCCTGTTAACCCCGAATGTTAGCAAGGCTGTTCATATGTATTAGGGTGTGGGAAGATGGGGAGACGAACGCTGCAGCTCAAAGCTATGAGACCCAGTAGGAGTCCCTTGAGGGCGAAATTTGATAAAATTTGTGAGTCGATCATACTTTTCACACACCCTCACTTTTCAATGATAGATCAAAAAATTCAGAAGGACTTTGATGGAAGAAGAAACTACACCGGTCCCCCTCTCTCAACTTATGCTGGCGATTGACGACGCCATGGGCAGCAGGAACAGCTGTAGGCTTGAACCGCTGATCGAACACGAGGTCAGACAATCTAAATTTGCAATGCGCAGTTTCATCTTGTCTGAGACATTGGTAGCTGAGCCATGGTGGTAAGGCTGTCCAGTTTGGGCTCGGAACCAAGCAGTTGGTGTAGCATAGCCTTGTAGCAGAGACTATGACCTGTTCGAGTAGCATGCATTATTACCTCAAATGATATCATTGTTATTTACCAAACACAGCCCTACTGGGCCCGCGAATAAAATATAACAGCCAGTTAGATGATGGTTGGCTTCCTTCCCCACCTGTGCACATGCTGGCAGCGCCACAGTGGACTCTGACTGCTTACTATGCTTACTATAGGAAGCCCAAGACATCTAGAATTAGTTTACTTGCCTACGACCCGACGAAGGAACTCATGATGGATTTGAGTCCCTAGCCCCATAAGCCATCGGGATCCCCCACTGATCCACATAAACGTGGCGAAAGGAGGGGCGATCTAAGCTGCATCATAGATGCTGGCAGCACTGACAGCAGAACAGGGAATGTAAAGAAAAGTCACAAGTATTACCTATTTCAGCCCACCAGGAAAGGAGGATAACGTGGAAAGCAATTGACTTTCTGATTTACACAATGGAAACAGCGCACATTGGCACTTTCCAGGACTCACTGCGTTCATTTCCCAGGCTGCATCTATGGCGCTATGGTGCTTGCTAATCTCCTGAAGTCCTCCAGTAGATCAATTCAAAGACATATATTTCCTATGTTACATTAGCAGGAACAGGATTACCACGTGGCAGTGTAGTTGCATTAGCTCGTTTCGGCTCGGTGTGTCACTTGTTTGAGGATGTGGTTTTGCTCTTCAGTATTGGGTGTTCGTCACTGATCTAAGCCAGCAGATGTGCACTGCAGGTCCTGTCTTAGGTCATGCACACAGACATTGAGGGATATGCCTGCTTATTACCTATTTTGGAGGCGTTGCTGATATAGTAATAAATAGTAATAACCATCATGATGCTCATGAGCATGGTCAACACAAGGTTTCCGCCATCCATTTGCAAGCCATGTCTCTAAAAGGAAGGCGAGTGGGATCGACAGCCGTTGCATCTGATCTTCTCCATCACATCGACCACCCTGTATGAGTGATTTTAGTTTCGTGAAGACGCAACACATCATCCTGCATTACCGTTATTATCGACCCTTGTGTGCCTGGCCGTGAGATACGAGGAAGGTTCAACACTTCAGATTGCCTTTAAAATTCCAGTAGTAGGCAGGAAATAGTGGATCTTGTGTGTATCATTATCAATTTGCAAGATACCCTCGTAGTGAGAACTGGATACATGTCGGAGATATTGAGAGATTATCCTTTAGATAATGAAGGTTGACTCATCCGTGCTATCGATGTTCCGTTCTTCTACAATCAAGGTTAGAATATTTATTTGTAACTGTCACGAATAGCAAACTATCATGAAACAACTTTCTATAAACACTAATGCTCTATCAAAGTAACATGTAGATATATCCCCGAAATCACACCACCTCCACGACGCCTTAACAGAAAATCAGTTCATTGTCGTCATTTTACATAATAACACTAGCAACTCCGTATCTCTCCTCATAACAGTGGCCACTGGGAATGTCATTCGTTAGATGTAAATTAGATGAAGAAGGACTTTATTCCAGACTCACCTTCTGAAGCACATCCCCCAAGACCGGACTCTTAGTCAACTGCATGATACCCTGGATATACTCCCTGGAGAGCTCAAATGGCTTGGCGACCAGGTTAGGGATGTACCGTCCAATCAGTCGATCCGGATCGACCATGGGCTCAGATATGTGCTTGTGAAGCAGGTAGCGGAAGGAGTCTACTCCAGGGCGGAGCAGACTACTGTGGAAAGGCACATTGACATTCAGCGGAATTGTGGCTCGCCCGCGTTGCAAAACGATCCGCTTATTTGTTGTTGTGACTGAGGCTTCCAGTCGTGTGAGGGTCTTCTGGATGAAGGTCTGCACCTCCTCAACACCGGTGAGACTCAAGACGCCAGTTGCGATAGCGTCGAGCAAGTCTGAGAGGGTGGCTAGTGCACGAAGCTGTAGATATTATTGCACAGGTTAGTGGTTATTTCGACTTGTGGAACCCAGAGATCAAGGCCCATAAAGGTGTTAGGGGAAAAACTCACATCTCCTGCGCAGACATATTGCATATTCGCAACATTGTAATTGACAATCTCAAGCAGTCCCCCTGGGCCCCTGCTGCGAGCAATCTCCGCGACACACCAGTGTAGGTCGTTCTCGCTGAACCTTGGCGAGACCCGCATCGGGTTGACGGCACACATGGAGTAGTCGGTAACCCCCTCAGCGTCTCGTTTGACTGCATTCTGCATCGTCAGGCCCCGGTAGAAGACAAGGGCCGACACTTCCTCGATGGAAAAGATCTTGCCCATTGCAGCAAGTGCCACATACTCGCCCAGCGAATGACCGGCGAATAGACTGTCTTCTCTCACGACCCCCTTGGCCCGCATGTCTTCGAATCGTGCCATCTCCATCAAAGCCAGGGCTGGCTGAGTGAATTGCGTCTGATGCAGGAGGCCATTGGTGGAGCGGAACGTGTACGACCGAGAGGATGAGGTGATATCAGGGAAGACGCGCTTGGAAATCACCGTCCCGTCATCTCCGACAGTGTCGAACTTGAGAGAGGTGTAGTTCGCGCGAACGGCACGGCCCTTGACACCACCAAAATACACGGTCAGTGCCTTTGGGTTATCCCGTACAATTTGGGTTATGGAAAATCCTAGGATATAACTCATTAGTCCCGATTTCTAGTACGCGCACGAGGTTAGGTGGAATTCAGCCTCACCGTATGTTTTACTGAAATACTCATCTGCGGTTTGCCACACCATCCGGGCACTCGCACTCTGCTTCTCAAGCCCCATGCCCATTCCCGGCTGCTGGCTACCTTGGCCGGTGAAGACATATGCGACTGGAGGCTGCTCGACTGTGGCTTGAGCGGAAAGGACCTTGGCACCCGACGACGTATTGTGGACCTGGATGGAAAGCAAGAGGTTGCCGCGCGACAAGCCTACCTGATCGACCTTGATGCCGAGCTTATCTCCCGGTGAAACCTTGCCGTCGAAACTGCAGGACCAGGAGCGCATTCGCGAGGGATCGCTTTGCGCGACATGCGCTTCCACCAGCGCTCGAACATATCCACTAGTGAACATTCCATGGGTTACTCGATTATCGTGCCCTGCGTAGCTCGCAAACAACTCTGAGAGATGAATAGGATTGCAGTCGCCCGAAGCTTGTCCGTATTTGGTTGCATAGTCCGGAATGGTAATTTCAAGGTCATCAAGCATAGTTTGCGGCTGCGGGAGTGCCTGGGAATCGTTGTCGAGTTGACTACCGTGTCTGCGCAGATAGTCCGTCACTGGGTTTTTGATGTAGTTGTCACCGGAAAGGTTAATAGTTCCTAGAACTTGAGAGTCCCCGGTCACCGACCGATAAATGACCTGTCCCTCTACGGAGATATCTGCGTATTTGTCCGAGTCAAGAAACGAATAGCGGCTCCGAACCTCAACCTCGATGTCCTTGTGGAGATAGTCCAGCAGATCGACACCTGGATTCAGGGAGAGCCAAGCCCGTGACTTCAACAAAGCGATATCTCTTTGCGAAGAAATATTGAGGTTAAACCTCTCTTCTTTTACCGCAAACGTATTTTCGTAGTCATGGTATTCGCCCAACAAGATAAAGGTACTCTTGATTCGGATTGCAGACTTGCTATTCCGGTAGAGGGTTCCCTCTGCATCAACGACCTTTCCTGTTCCTTGCTTGATTTTAATCGATGTCAGTCGGCCCTCTGAAGACAGACAGTCTCCTTCTTTCAATGGCTCAGCTCCATCACAGTACTCGAAAGAGTTCTTAAGGTGCAGAAGCCGAAGAAAATCTCCAGACATAAGCGGATGGAACAGGCAACTCATGAGCGGTCTCCATCCAACCGCTATGGCCAGATCCAGAGGTGCATACATAGGCCCTTGGGTAGTCTCCGACGTGTACTTGGAGTTGTGATTGCAAATACTCTGGGCGAACTGTCGGATCATCTCTCGTGTCAAAACCACTGCCTCGCCGCGAAAGACATGATCTAAAGGAGATACCAACGTCGCCAAAGATGGAGTTTTTCCGACCCAGATATGCTGATAATATTCTTGGATCCGTGAATTCCGATTGGCTCTTACTTCAGTAATGCTGGGAGCGCCAAGCTGTGGCTTGTACTGAAACCGTAACTCCAAGGGCTCAGATGCGGTATCTCTCAGAGTCATCAAAATGTCGCTGGTGGGCTCGGAAGAAGCTCTTCGTAGAGTGGCACTTGCGATCAAATGTGGCTGTACTTTGCCTCCTGTAGTTCTCTGATACTCTACCTCCCTGATGAAGATCTCCGGCATACTCGTCGATTGGGGATTCCGCACTTTTACGACTCGTCCTCTGCCCGTTGCGGCAAACAGTCGACGAAGGGGGTTGTAGATCCGCTTCCCATTTTGAACAATCATCGGCTCTGTGAAAATGGCACGGCACCAAGGGGCAAGGGTTGATTGAGTAAGGGCTTTCAGCCACTGTTCACTTGAAGGCTGGCGATCTATATCCGTGGGTCGATAGGTGACGGCGTTCACCCCTTGCTCAAGAACAAATCCATCGCAAACCAGGGGAAGTGAGTCGAGATCCTCTGTTTTCCTCGCAAAGGGAACCTCAGAAAGGTCACCAGCGTATCGCTCTTTCAGGATCGGCGCTATGTAATAGTTATGAAGGCTTTCAAGTATACCGCGGACCGGCTCATTAGCTGTGCAGGTATACTGCGCGGCCACTGGTCCATGGAGGATACAAATGCGC